AGCCCAGCCCCAGCCCAGCGCAGCTCCAGCGCAGCCCAGCCGCAGCTCCAGCCCCAGCCGCAGCCCAGCGCAGCCCCAGCCCCAGCCCCAGCCCCAGCCCCAGCCCCGCCCTCCCGGGGCGGATCCGCCTGGGGTCCCGGAGGCAGCAGGTGCTGAGAGGAGCCCATCCCTCCCGACTACTCTGTTCGGAGGTGCATTTCACCAGGCTGGGGAAACGTGGTTTGCACCAGTGCTTTAGGCACCCCCCGCAGCTCCCACCCCTAGGGCGTGGCAGCCACAGGGCTCACAGCCCCGGCCTGGAGGTGGGCGAGGGCGGACGGAGCCTCCGCGCCTGTGCCTGGTTCTGTAGGGAGGGCTAACTTACTAGTAAATGCAGCCTTGTCCTTCCAGCGCTCTACCTTTTTGAACCCTCTTTTGGCTGGTGGAATGGAGTTTGAAGGAGAAAGGGGATGGGATGGAGTTTGAAGGGTCAAACATAAGTGAGGGTACTCACATCAGAGAAAATGTGATTTGGGAGTTAGGGACGTGAACTTTAGCAACAGATGTCCTAGGTCTGAGCCCTCAGTCTGCCACTAACTAGCACAGGGTTTTATTGAGTGCCTGCTAGGACCTCTGCATATTATATTTAGTGTAATCCTCAAACTCCATGAAGTAATGTTTTACAGATGAGAACTATGTATATGCAGTCAACAGCTATTTGTGGTCAACAGCTATTTATTTATCCATTTAATTTTCTATATTTCTTCAACAGATATTTCTCTGCTCTGGGTCAGATACCGTTATTGATGTTGGGACACAGCAGTAAGCAAAACAGAAAGTCATTGCTCTCATGAAATTTCTGGTGCGTCTGTCTGCTTATCCTGAGATAAGCAGTCCCATTATTGTACCATCTCAAAACCCTTTGGGCTGTGCCTGCAACCTGTAGTTTGGGAAATCCTTTGCTTATCCGTCTGAAGGACCAGCCAGCACAGTTGGAGCAGAGAAAATTAATTAGAGAACTTTAACTAGGGGGAGCCCCACAGGGCAATGGTCCATCCCACTTTCCTTTTTCCATTCAAGGAAACTGAAATTTAGAGGAATGGGGGTGGGGGTGGGGGGCGCTTGACCAAGGTCAAGGAGGTCTAGTAACAGAACCAAGAAGACACGGTTTCTCACCCTTCCTAATGCGCTTGATGACATGAATTGACATGGCTGAAGGGCCTTTGGCTACACACAAGGTGCTGTGTTAGATACACAGATGAAAACTAACAGGCATTAGACTACAGGCTAAGAGTTTGGGCCCCAGAGCCAGACTGCCTGGTTCAAACCCCAGGTGTATAAACCTGAGCATTTACTACTTGGACTGAAAAAAAGTACTCAGTGAAAACAAGTCATCAAGATATTCTGCAAATGGAATCTTCAAGCTATAAACACCTATGTTCTGTCAAAAAAAAAAAAGAGATAATTATTTGCAAATGGTGATCAGCACAAAAAGAAACTCACGGATCCAAAAATGTTGCCTCTAAAGTCCATGCAGAGGTATCTCCTACTCATCACTCCAGTTATCACCACAAAGCCAGCGTCCTCTGATCTGATCATCAGGGCACCTGTGGAGAAAAGCATTCAGGTCAAACCTTGCTGTATGTCCAGTTCCCACCTTCAAGCACTTCTGGAAAACCTGCCTTCATGAATCTTCCCTTGATTAATTTTAATGGTCATGATTTCACAAACCCTCCCCTTGTACTTACTTGTTCAGCCTCATTTCTTCTGACTCCTACACGCCCCCACTCTTGTCCCCTCTCCCCCAATTATCTTGCTCTTCACCCACTTGCCGCATGGAGCATTCTGAACTCCCTGCATTCTTTCACCTGTGCCCTACACATGTTTCTCTCCTTGCCTGGACTGTCTTTATCGTCTCCTTGCCTGGCTAATACCGCTTCATGTTTGTGGTGGTAGTCACATTCCCCCAAAGCTTCTGCCTTTGTGATTTTAAAATCTATACCAAGATATCTTTCAAGAATCCAGGTTGCACATAGAGCCTGATTCTCCACCTGAGTAGCTGTGCAAATGTCCCTGGTAACTCAGTCAACACCCATCATGTGTCAAGAACTGTATTAGATTTGATCTTCCCTCTCTTCTCTGCTTATTGAAGTCACTCATCCTTCAAGGCCAGGCTAATCTCCCTCAGCATTAATTGTTCTTTCTTTTCAGCTCTCAGCACAATGCCTACACCTCTATTGCAGCATGCATTTCATTCCCCTTGCTTTAGGTTTACATACCTAGTGTGTCCCCTAGAGGGAGCTACTTAGAATCAGATGGTTTATCTTTCCATGTTGAATAGGATTGGATGGAATTTTTTTCTTGGGTCTTTATTGCTGTTCTTTGTCTTTTCCTCACTTAGTGATGTCCCCTCAAGGTGCTGTCCCTCATGGTCTTTCAATGCCCCTCTCAAAAACTAGTCTCAGGCAAGGGCCCAAAATCTATTCACACTACCTACACCTTAAATAATTGATAACAGCTTTAGTACACCCCTCACCCACTCCCATGGAATCTTGCAATTTTAACAAGTACCAATGCCTAGTTAAAGAAAGTCTAAAGCTTTCTGTTTTGTGGCAAGGGTACAATTCAGCAAGACTTATGCCCCACATGCTGTTTAATTACCTGACATTTTCTATTGAAAATCATTTCCTTAAGTCTTTAAGGTCACTTCCATTGCCTACCACAGAATTTCCCCCTGCATCTCATTTGGCCTCAGCCCGCGGGGAGGAGCCCGGGTAGTGGTTCAAATCCCTCTTTTAGAAATGGTGTGTTCCCAGTAAGTGGTAGCACTTCATGGGTTGACTTACAGCCCATCTCCTTCTCCACCCAATGTAGGATCAATACAAGACCTCTGAGGAGAGCACCAGCCAATTCTTAGACACGAGCTGAGAACAGACCCTGATCTGGACTGAAGTCAGAATGATTTGGGACAGAGGAAATGAGGTGGGAGCAAGCCTAGAACAAAGAGAAAGGAGGAGGCCAAAGAGGAAAGTTAATTTGATTCCAAGTTTGGCTGAGGGTTAGTCTTGAGGGAAGCTTCTGGAAGCGGGGTGGGGTATGGGAGGTGTGGAGGATATTTGCATTGCTCCATAATTGGGTCTGCCTATGTGTCTCGAATAGGTGGCTAATTTTGTGGTAAGCCCTGAGAGAAACTTAAGAAACATGAAAGGAATAGTTCTGTCCTGATGAATTTTCTTTACATTGAGTAACTTTTTGAGTGATTGTGCGCTAAGAACTTTATGTATTTTACATTTTTAAAACAACGGTTGTATTGTTAATATTTTTAATATTGGCAGTAGCAGCATCCCAACTTAAGTGTTGTGGAAACTAAGGCAGGATTCAAACTAAGGTCAGTGGACCTGACATCCTCTTCCTATCACCTTGTAGCTTGTCTCCCACAGAAATCATCAGAAGACAAAGTCAAGGCCCCACACAGGGGGTCAGGAAAGAAGCACTGCACCAGGAACTGGATTCCAGTCCCAATTACACTTCTTACTGACTTTGTAGCCTTGGGAAGGACATGCTCTTGCCTCAGTTTCCTCAGTTGTGAAAAGGGAGTAATAACAGCTGTCCTGCCTACTTTATAGGGTTACAATTAGAATCTAATGGAATGATGGCTGTAAAAATGACTTGAAAGCGGGCGCGCATGTACAGTGCGATTGAAACTTCATGGCCCATGTGCAAAAGTCGGTATTTTGTGGAAGAGCCACACTCAAGGGCCAAAGAGCCGCATGTGGCTGGCGAGCCGCAGTTTGCCGACCACTGCCTAGGTAGGTCATCTACTACCTATGTGACCTTGCGTGAGTTATTTAATTTCCTTAACCTTTGTTTTCCTCATAAGTAGCAGAATCACCTCATTTGGCTGTCTAGAGGATGCAATGCGATAATATTTTTATCCACTGTAAAAGCACTTTCTAAATGCTGGTAATTGTTATCTTACCTCTTTGCCTCACCCTCTGCTATTAAAGTAGAAAATTACTTGCTCTGTTCTAGTCTCATAGCCAGTAAGTGACAAGTAAGATAATCTGTGTAAAGTACCGTCAGCTCCCCGAAGAAAGAGAAGATTTTGAAGGATGAAGGAGCCTGAGGATAATTCACCTTCAAATAAAGAAAATGCCAATGGGGAAGGTGGAGGAAATAAAAATACCTGCATCTAGGAAATGACAGTAACCAGGGGTAGTAAGCATCTTTTCTTGGCTGTTTCCACAAAGTGGGGGGAGGGGGGGTAACGGGGAGTGGGGGGTGGCCTTGTTCATAGCAGGACAGGAGACACAGACGTAGGAGAGGCTCCCTGCCATCTGTGCTGAGTCCGAAGGGAGGTTACAGAATCTTGTAGGTAGGTAAGTTCACAGTGACCAACAACCCAAAGATGGGGTGGGCACTCAGCTATTAATCAAGAATTTGCTAAAGCACAGCAATCAAATGTAACAGATTTCACTGGAAATCTATAATGACTTAAGAGGGGAAAACCCACCCACTGCTTCCCATCAGTGTACATGTGTTGCTTTAAACTCATTGAGGAGGTAATTATAAATCCTCTGTTAATTAGTTGTCCTACCTATCTACATACGCCCATGTTTCCTCTATTCTTTTTGGTAACATTTATCTTAATGTATGCATTTTTTTTGGTAATGCACATGATACCTGATTTGAATAGTACAATAGATTATTCAAACTAGGAAAAGTGTCTCCCACCCACCACCTTGACCTGAGTTCTCCTCCCCGGGAGCACCCTGCTTAGCTAGCAGCTATACCTGACAAAAACAAAATCACTTTTCTGTAAAGTAAAAAAATCTGAAATCCGTTTATTTTACTTCTTCTCAGTCATTTTAATTCATTCCAACTAATACTCAGTGCCTTCGCTGGGCCTGACACCAGTGGATATTTGAGGGAAAGTTCTACATTTTGGCTTGCCTGCTCAGTAGGCGGAGCCCCATACACTGGAGCACTCAGCCTACCACAGCCGGCTCACACCAGTCTACTTTGTCATGTTCAGGAGGACATGTCTTTGGGGGGGGCTCCTTTCAGTGAAGGGATTCCATGATTTTAGACAAGTTTTACAAGCATTCTCTAATTGAATGAAGCCCTTTCCATCCATGGGAATCAAAATAAGGTACCATAAGCCACTCGTGCACGTTAAACCTTGCAGTGGAAGTAAGGGTGACCCTCCATGGGAGCTGCAAAAATTGTATTTCCGGCTGAAACCGGTTTAGCTCAGTGGATAGAGCGTCGGCCTGCGGTCTGAAAGGTCGCAGGTTCGATTCCGGTCAAGGGCATGTACCTTGGTTGCGGGCACATCCCCAGCAGGAGATGTGCAGGAGGCAGCTGGTCGATGTTTCTCTCTCATCGATGTTTCTAACTCTCTATCTTTCTCCCTTCCTCTCTGTAAAAAATCAATAAAATATATTTTAAAAAAAATTGTATTTCTGAGAAGTCTGATAATAAGCTGGGAGACAACATGAAGTCTTGAAGGGCCGTGTCTGCCTTTGCAGTCACAGAGCTTTGCATGATGTCAGACACATTGCAGGCTCCGCTAAACACCCATTGGATAAAATGAGCAGCACTTTGGATGTATCAAGTATATCCAGATTTATTTCAGATTTTCACCATTAGACTCAAACTTGGCTTCCAAGATGTTGACTCCTGAATCCCACCTTATCCTGTTGAGTTTCAGAGCCTTTTTGGTATTTGGAGAGACCTTTTCTCCCTCCTCTAATCTCTTATCACCATCCATTGAGCACTTGAAGAGATTTGAACTGTTGGTTTTGCATGTGCATATACCTTGCTACCAGGTTTAAGAACCTTTGATTCTTAGCAGAATTACTGTCTTGCACACAGCAAGGCCACAGGAAAATTACTAAATAATTTAGTACAATATACAGCAAATAGTTTTCTGTAATTAAACAGACTGATTACTCTTTCATTCCTTCAATTTGTTCTTTAATTTAATCAGTATATATTTTTCTGTATTCTTAGAGTAATTTTTACATATTCTAGTAAGATAGAAGACCTTGTCTTTTTCAATATTCATCCTCCTGCTTCATTATTTCTTATATAGGTGCACACCAAAGGGCCCTCATATGACTCATACATAATTGATTGACTATTGTGGACTGTGATCCAACGTTCCACAAATGTAATCTTTAAAACATTCTAGTTGTCTCGTGTTGCCAAAGAGCTCCCAACTAGCTCATTTGCTACTGATTTGTACTGAACTGGGTCGCTCTGAAGCGCCCGGTGACCTGTTGGATGGATGCATGCATGGATAGATAGATGAGTGCATGAATGGTTTGTGCACATGGTCAGGCCCATCAAGACAACATACCTGGATAGTCTGTCTTTTATACATTTGTCCTGAAAAAGTTTAAAAGGCCAGAATACAAGAAGCTCCAAGTTGGAAAGAGCCCCTGAGTTCAGCTATTTCAAATCAGAGTTGGACACAGGCATCTTCTTCACAACCTCCATTGCTAACCCAGCCCAAAGTTCAGAAGCTAAAACTCAGTGACTCTTTACCTGTCTGTCTTTGCCCTCTGAACCTCCTTGCCTTTCTTTGACTCTGGACAGGACAAAGGGAAAGTGGCTGCTGTTGTGGGAAGAAGGACTTTAGTTAAGATAGAAGGCATTCATGTCAGTAGAAACCAGTAAACGTTACCTAGGACGGTGGCAGAATCTTCTCCCAAGGTTTAAACACACACACAGAGGCTGGATTAGCCCTCTGGTCTAGCCCAGGGTCTCCCCATGTCCCTGGCAGGGGATGGGCAAAGGAGCTCCCCTTCCTCCCAGCCTGAATGAAGCCCCTACTCACTGTAGATGGTCTGATGGGGTGTGCCGTCCACATGGCCGTCCTTGTGGATCTGCAGGTGGTAGCTGTTCCTGGCTGAGGCCGTGTACAGGTGGGTCAGGCCACCCCAGCTGGAGCCGAGCAGTGGGGAGGCGTTGGGATAGGCTCTGACCACACAGCGCAGGGCCAGGACGCAGACCAGCAACCCAAGGCGGGCCCCTGGCATCACTGCTCTCTGAATGGCTGGTGCGGAGTTTGAAACCTGACACTGCCTCCCTGACTCGGGGCAGCCTCTCTGGCCTTTTTCTCCTCTTCCCCTGGTGGGTATCTGGCGTGAGGATCCCAGGCTGGATTCCCTCCTTTCCCCCTTGGGCTTTTAAAGGGTAGCAGTGTGACATCAACCAGGAAAACCTCCACTGTCCACATCCTCTGTGTTGTAATCAGCTCATTTGAAGAGAGTGCAGAGAACTCTGAGGTTCACAGAAGGCACGTCGGTTACACACACACACACACACACACACACACACACACACACACCAATTTCAAGCCAACGCTCCAAGAAGTGAATGATGTGTGGGCAAAAGTTATCTATGACTGTTGACCTGTTTCACTTCCACCAGGAAATGTGAAGGCAGCCAGCGGTTCCGAAAAAATCCAGCTTCAGTCATGCGGTCAATAGACTCCTGTGCAATTAATCTCCCAATGAGTCTACTCATTTTGGTTTTCTTGGTCCTTCCCATCCCAATCACCAACAATGTGTCCAGTGCTTTTCTCTGTGTATAGCACAGGTGGGCGTTTGGAAGGGCACAGAAATAATACAGAATAGCATCAGGCACCGGGGATCCTCTGAGACCCCCCCCATCCCACCCCACCCCATGAAGATACAGGAGCAGAGAACAGAGGGACCTAAAACAAGGTTGCCATTGGGGAAAGTTCCAGGCAGGAAGAAGGAAAGCAAGGCCTTGAGTCTCTGCTGCTCTACAAAATGAAATGCTGATGTTTGATTTCTCAGTGTCCCTGGTTGGGCTGTCTAGGGCAGGGGCTGGGGGGGATGTCCAGCCTGTGGGCCGTATCAGGCCCAAGAAATCATTTGGTCTGGCCCTGAAGGCAACTGCAGGCAGGACTCAAAATTCAATAAGTCTAAGAGCCTTTTCCATAGCAACATAGTCTATATTGCTCTGGTCTAGGGCACCTGAACTGGTATTATGGTCTTTCCAATAATATGGAGACTCATTGAGAGACCTCACGAAGACCGGGAGACTGATGGCTGAGCACAGGGGTCAGAGCCCAGGAAGGTCCCAGGAGTGAGTGGCAGGCCAGGGAGTCCCCACAGTTAGTGTCTATTGGGTGCCTGGCTCCTAGGATGGGACCTTTCTCAGAGATGCTCCTCACAGGTGTGCCCTCTGGGAAGCTACACGTGATGGAGGACATCTTAGCACATACAGCTCAACAGGGAGCAAGCTGCTGGAACGCATCCCAGAAAAACACACACAGGAGGCTGCGACTTCTCTAGTTCCCCATTTGTTGAGTGCATACCATGGTCAGGCATCAGGCTGGACACCGTGGTTGATTAAAGAGAGAGCAAACGGTGATCCCTGCCTCAAGGAGCTCACAGGCTAGGAGAGAAGGGAGGTAAAGATAAGTAACCACAACACAAAGCATGATGGGATGCACAATCATATAGGTGCTGGCGAAAGCGGCGGGGGGAGGGAGGCATATGCTATCTTACATTTGCACAAGGCTTTATAGATTACGAAGCATTTTCATGTGTACCAGCTCATTTGAATCTCATTGCAGCGCTGTGAGATAGGCACTCCAGGCGTTATCAGCATTTTTATATTATACATGAAGAAAAGGTCTTGGGATTCATATGTACAAATAAATGAGATCGGACAATGTCTTCTGCTTTCCCAGATTGCTTCTCCAATAATAATCATGGCGGCAACTAACATTTATTGAGAGCTTACCAAGTGCTTTACTTGTACTGACTCAGTGAATTTTCATAATAAACCTCTGAAGAGATGCGGTTATTTCCTGTATAGTTATAGGAAACTGATGCACACAGTTTATACAGTTAATACGGGGAAGAGGTCAGATGGGTGTCTGGGCAGTCTGACTCCAGCCCTACTAAGCGCTTTGCTAGATATACAAACCCCACCAGCTCTAGGCGCCTGGTAAGGAAGTGCAGGCAGCAATGTGGCACATTCAGTGTTTCTCTAAGAAACCCAGGCCTTTACCCAGGATGTGTCTCTAAGAGGCAGCATGCTGTCTTCCCAGGTTAGAGAGAAGATTTAGGACATTAAAATGTTTATGTATAACACAGTCTTCTTCAATGATGTTCACAGAATGGTTTACAAGTATAGCCCCTCAACTCAGTTAACTGAAGAAACAGCCAAATACAAATACAAATCATTCAGGAACATTGGCCAGTTGACAACCCTACATTTTCTCTATCGCTTGCGAATAGGAAAGAGATTGTAAGCACCAGTGACAGTTGGTGGTCACTGAGAGCCTTCTCTGTGCAAGGGAAGGGCGGAGGGAGTTACAGGAATAAAGCAGTACAATCTTATCCTCAAAGGCTTATAATATTGAGCAGAAAAAAGAAAAACTTTGTTCAATACAAGGCACTGAGAGAGAGGAACTAAATTACTAGGACATTTAATAAACGCTAAGGGGGTTCAGAGAAGCGAGAGATCACTGCGGGGCGGGGGGGGGGGGGGAGACACTGCAGTCAAAGAGGGCTTAAAGGGACCTGAGACTAGATGGAACCTTTATATGGACAGGCAGGGAAGGGTGCATCCCAGCGCCTGCCAGGGCACGTTGGGGAGCGAGTGCAGGTGTCTTGGGAGGCGCACTTGGCCATTGGCTCTGTTCCTGGGGTGAATGGAAGGGGAAGCTCCCTCACCACTGCAGCTGGGAAAGAGAATTGATGTGCCACTTACTCCACTTCCCAAACCTTCCCTCCAAGAAGAAGCCCTGAATGCCCAGCAGCTGGATCTGAGGGCAGAGAACAATTCAGGGGAGTTGGTTTATTTCTGAAGGGGAAAGGGAGGGGGATGAAAGAAGAAGCATTTCCTATTTGGCGAGAGTGAAGAAGGTACAAGAACCTCAGAATAATTCTCCTCACCTGAGATATAGAAAAATTGAGAGTGGAGGGGAGGATTTGCCCAATAGCAGAACTTCCAGCTCCTGGCTGAACTGCCTAGGAGCGGATTCCAAACCTGGCCACCTATTAGAATCACCATAGCCCCAGGACTGATCTCAGACCTGCTGAATCTGCAGGGGGCAAGGCCCACTACTTGCATTTCCCCCCAAGCTACCTGGCAGATTCTAATCCCCCACACTAGATGCCAATGACACTGAAGTACTTATCAAGAAATAGCCTTTGAGTTCCAATCATAGAGTTAGTACAGAGACCAAGACCCCCTTCAGTAGTCTGCTCAATTTTCCATGCCCTGCTAGGATTTCTGGTCGACCTGTGCTGATTAAGATGTAAATGGGCCTTTCTAGTGAATTTTGTGGTGCCTCTGAGCAGCCTCCCCTCCAGCCCGATGGGTGTGGCATCTCCTCAGAAGCTTCTGAGAACCTTGACAGAAAGGGAGAGCTTAGAGGAAGTTGGTTCCAGTTCTTTGCACCTACAGGGCACTCATCTGTGACAATTCTGGTCAGAGGATCAGGGAACTGGTGTGCCCTTGGGAGCCAAATGATAAAGGCTCATACCAGGTGGGAGCAGGAATTGCAGGGAGCAGGCCAGTGGTTTGTGGTTCTGGGAAACCACTGTCCTTGGTGCCCAGGTGGCTGCCTGGCATGCAGCAGGTGGGCACACCTGCTCTTCTCCAGCCGGCCCTGCAAGCCCCTGCTCTGACTGAGGAGGATTTGCTGCGGGAGCTGGGTGGAAGCCTCTGGTCCATTCCTGCATTTACAGTCAGAGAACCGAGGCTCTAACCGTGGCTGGGGGACGATAGGAACCTGTATTCCCACAGTCGATTACTTTCCCTTAGCTCCTGACGTCCTTTTCTCAGAATCTGATCTCCCCCAGGTCATAGTCTCTCAATCTGAAGACTTTCCAACAATTCAGATGTTCCCGTCTGGGTGTTTTTTTGGGGATAGGAAACCGTCTTGTCTTCTAGCACCTCCCCCCAATTGTTTGCTTTGTCACCTGCTACACTTGATCATCTACCTGGGAATTACCCACCTGTGGGTGGTGACGGACAGTGTTTAAATTCTCTGCTGGTTGGCTCATTTCTTTCTCCCTGCCTTGCTTATCATGCCCACACTGGATTAGGGATAGACTCAAGTAAGGCAGTTGCCTTTAATCTCATATTTAATATCATATGTATGATTATGTACATTTATATTGTACTACCATAGGTCACTATAATACCAGTCTCACCCAAAGAGGTGTAGTCAAAAGTAAATCTAAATATATAAATAGAACCCTCATTATTCATTCACTCCAAATGAAATAAAAACGGCTTCTGTAATATTATAGAATCCATGCAATTGCTATGTTGCTTTTGGTGTAATAATCAGAAGCTTGTTTTGTAGGACTAAGAGGGGTTGGTACGGCAGATGCCTCCACTGGGAACCTTAGTGAATGGACGGTCATAGACGAGCTGGAGGGCAGAGGACATGAGAGAAGTCCAAGCGACTGATCTGTAGCTGCAGCCTTTTCCTTCCCTCCCAGGTCCTCAGTCCTCCTTTTCCCACTGACACCCATCTTACTGGAACCTACTCCCAGCCTCCACCTCTACAGCCTGAGGGAGATAAGGCGACATGTGTCTCAGGCTGGCGGAGTCCAGGCCTGTGAGTGGTTTCACAAAAGGTCCACTTTAGGTCATAAGAACAGGGTTAGGCTTGTTTCACTCAGAACAAAGGCAAAGAGTTAGGTCGCACTCGCAGTGGAGGCAGCGTGGGTGACACAGCTTTTGAATTAAGGGCTTGCAGCGTAAAGTTTGTCCATTTGTACCGCCCTCCCCAAACCCTGCATAGTCACACGTCCAGAGGGCTCTTTGACTCCCCTTTCTTTCTCTTCAACACTCTGCCTTCCAATAAATAAATAAATAAATAAATAAATAAATAAATAAATAAGTTAACTATATGTAAATAGGGATTTTCAATTTTTCAAAATACTTTCATAATGGTTATCTCACTTGTCCTTCACAGAAATGGTCTCCTTGGAGAGGGACCTTTCCAAACTGTTATTCCTACAAGTTGATATGAAATCAAGTATCCTTGTGGCTGGTCAGACTTCATGGCCTGGC